TCCTAAACCGGATTGTTTCGTCTTCTCTGCGTACTTTCGATTTATGGGTTCAGCTCGGAAGTATGCGCCGCGATCCTTAAACGCTCGAACTTTTGAACCGACGCAAGAACCCCGTAAAACGTTCAACCGACAAGAATCTTACAGAACCGCCCAAGAAACTATCTAAAGTCTGAGAAACTCAGACCGAAAGGCCTGTTGATGACCCTTACGACCCCAAACCTTCGATGCAGATCCGGCTGCCTCCAGTTCGCCGAAAAGCTCAAAAACGGCCTGGCGAGGAAAACTCAGGGTGAAATGTAGCGGCCTTAATCATCTCAATCGGGTATCGGGATATGTTTATGGTATAGCTACGGCTCAGAACACAGGTGACAGCGCCTGATTGCTATAGCCCCAGGCCCCCACGCCATGACCCTTCGGGGAAGGTGGGTCGCGCAGCAGAACAAGGGCTGGTCGGGCGAGGGCGTCCGGATCATTGTCCAACCGATAGCTGGGGACTATATGATGGCGATCATGGGCGCAAAGCTCACACTTTGCTTTGTGAGTTGGCCATGTTGAACATTTGTTCGGAGGACATGCTCGCATAATACACGGCAAAGGAGTTTGTGACTGGCTTCAGGCTGGCTTTTCAGCTGCGCGGCATCAAGAAGAACAGAGGCTCATCAGGCGAGGGCATCTGGAACACCAAACGGCAACCAGGCAGCTCATGCATTTCGCCCGACGTGGTGGCACTCACACACACGAAGGGCACGCAGCGCAGGGTGGCAATGTTTAACATAGGTTTCAAAGAAGATGTCGGCTTTCCAGCTGCGCGGCATCAAGCAGAACAGAGGCTCGTCAAGCGAGGGCGTCTGGATTATCAAGCGGAAAGCTGGCAACCACTGCACGTCCTGTGGAGAGGGGTGATGCACAGACGACGAGGCGATCTGATGACCTTGACTCCGCCATCTTGACTTAGCAGTTTCTGCGTAAGTAAATGATGCCGGAGCGCTTTATCTTTCAGCGCGGAGGTCCTATGGCCTTCATGCTGTTGTTGAGTTTGATGTCCCAATATCACCTCGATGAAGGTGTTTAGACATCCGGGGTATCTTGAACCGTGTGGGGGCCTCATCTGATACCATGAGGAAGACCCTGCACCTCTTAAGGTCCGATTTGTGGATCGTATCATGTTTGGTGCTTGGATCACCGATTACGGAATACGAAGCACCTTTTGTTTGCCGTGCATTTTCAGGCATCGTCCATGTGCCATCGTTTTTTCTTTGAAGGAGCGGGACAGCTTTTCCTTCGCTGGCTCAATCCCGCTTCCGAGTGGGAGTCCACACTGGTGACAGATAGATTACTGGTCCGCACTAAGCAACGAACTTAAGTGCATGCCAAAGGGCTGCGACCTCATGGACACAACGCCCGAAAGACGTGAAGGACGCAATGACATAGTTACATAGCCGTAGAGGAATGTTTAGAATAAGGCTTTGGGGTATGTTCTGGTACAGGTGTAGTTCAATGATTAGTATAAAGTCTTGGTTAAAACATAATGTAGGGCCTAGTGACTAGAAGTGTAAACGACTGAATATTCCGACTTCTACATTAGTTGATGCGGGCTCCTTAAGCTTAAAGGATTGGTGGGGCTGCAGATTGTATGGTTTTACAACGGCTGCCGTGACATTTAGTAGGTTGCTTTTTGTGTGCTTTTCTAGTTTGCACCTAGGATTTGGGGTTTCGGTGTAGGCTCTGAGTTTAGGATTTTGACGTTTGGGTGCCAGGGTGGATTAGGTGTGGTTGCCCAAATGTGAGGTGTTGCAAGCCTATGTGGCCAAAAGGCATAGGGTGTAAGTGTTGTAAGTTCATGTGCGGCTACATGGTGAGCGTAATCGGTCCATGTGCAGTTTTGGTTTTAGAAATCGAGCTTGGCCATGAAAAGTTCTTACGACGGACGCATGTGGGGTTTAGGTATTCTCCGTTCAGGCGGGGTTTAGGTTTACGGTCAGCGCAGCACTTCCCTGCACCGCACCCAAATGCTCGCCTGGTGATGTCTGGCACCGAAAGCCCGGACAGCAAATCTACATAGAGCCAACACTTCGAATAAGCCCCTGAACCCGAAAGTCCCTGCTAAAGCCAGAAAGGGTCTCCTTAGCCCCTCTCGATCCTGAAGCAAAGATCCTGAACATTTCGCGAGGTCCATCGCCATTTAGGTTGAGGGCTTCCGGCCAAAAGACGTCAGGACTTCCACGTTCAAGCTTTAGGATCTTGTGCCTTTTGGTGGTTCAGTGGATTTAGGCTTTTAGCTCGTGTCTCCAAGTTTGCGGATTGGCTTTCGGCGTGTAGGGTTGGGGGGTCTGGATCACAACAGCTTCTTAGGGTCTCCGAAGCCACGCTAACAGGCTCAGAACCCGTAAAGTCTTTAAAATCGATGCGCAAATCCTTCAACGACACCTCCCAGCGAGCTGACTTCCCAAGCGCGGCCGCCGTCCTGGGATCCCGAACTTAACGGCGACCACGACTCTGCGGGTGCCTTGTCTGGGTCTTTCTCGTAACGAGTTCCCCTGTAAGCAAAACGTGAACCTGTGCAATAGGAAAATCGAAATACCTGCTAAACCTTCAACACACTTGCCTCCGCATTATGCGATGGCACAGTGCATCACTGCCCAGGTTTCAGCAGCACCTGTTGATGCACCAATCCTTCCTTGCCGACTTGCCGGTGAGTTCTGTCGAAGACCGGCCGCAGCTCATCTTTCCCTCTTGAATTTGTTTGTCTGCCGCAGACATTCGGCTACCATCGTGCAAACCGTGCATTCCAGATTTGCCTGCAAGAAATTTGCCAGTAAGCTTCACAAACCGAAGTTTGCTCAAACCGCCGTTCATGCGACAAAGTTACGCCTGTCAGCTGTCTAGGGAGGAAAGCTGGTGTTTGTTCTGCGGCGCCCCACAAAAAAAAATCTTGCACCCAACGTAATCTATCAAAGACCCCTCTGCAGCTCTCTCAACACACACTTGACCGGTGGCCCCATGATCTCTTCCATCCACACTACTGTTCAAAGCCTGGCTGGCAGCTCGCATGAGATGTAGGACACATGCACACACACACACACACACACACACACACACACACACTTACTTCTCACATTGCCTAGCGCACGATGTAAGAATTCCCTGTTCTGCCGTTGGATTTAGGGTTTGGGGCTTACGTTGGTTGTACTGGAGTCGTAGCGGTAAGTCTAGTGCCGGTACGGGTGCTAGTGACAGGGGAAGTGGCGGTGACAAGTGCAATGACTGGGTCGGCACTGATAGCAGTAGTTATCCACTGATAGCCTAGTTATCGTCGTGATGGTGGTAGCAGCAGTGGCCGGAGGAGCAGCAACAGAAGCAGCAGCAGTAGCAGTAGCAGCAGTAGCAGCAGGTGTGGTAGTAGTAATAGCAACAGCAGGAGTAGTAGAACCAGCAGCAGCGGCAAAAGCAGAAGCATGCGGCATTATCACCAGGCTTTTCCGGCGGAGACGAAAAAGCTGAAATGCAAAACTCAAATCCCGCACAAACCCGAAACTTCTAGGCCCTGAGCCGCAAACCAACCCCTGGAATCTATCTACAACGCCACCGGAAGCTTGCAAAAACTGAGTGGCGTGTTGAAGGCGACCACCCCAAGCTCATAGGACGACGCCTTTCAGCCGAGGCCGATTTTGGGTTTGTTCTGCTTCTGTTTCTCAGAGATCCGCACCATCCAAGCCAAGCAAACGCAAGTTCCTGAAACTCCTACAGCCATGTTTCTTGATGCTCTTGAACTTCTTCTAATGACTACTGTTCTTATTCTTACACACAGTATTAGTCTTATTCTTCACAGCCCGCTTGTCATTGTGTTAGTATCTCTTTCAGAAGAGTTGAAGAGCTCTCGCAAAAGGAAGAGCAGGGGCTGCTCCTGGCTCCGGCGCAGAAGTTCGAGGGCTGCCGGCCAGCGCAGGGCCAGTTCGTAGGCCTCTGGTTGTTGTAGCGGTTTAGGATTTAGGGTTTAGGGTTTGGGGTTTAGGGTTAAGGGTTTAGGGTTTAGGGTTTGGGGTTTAGGGTTAAGGGTTTAGGGTTAAGGGTTTAGGGTTTAGGGTTAGGGTTTGGGGTTTAGGGTTTAGGGGGGTTCTTTGGGAGGTTTTGAGGTTTGGGATCCTTGTGGGGGTTTGGGGTTTCGGGTGGGTCTTATGAACGCTCGGAGGCTTTGTTGTCTGCATAACTACAAAAGAGCTCTGGAGTCTACTGCAGTATAACCGAAAACAAGGACTATTGCTAAATCCGGGAACAGCATAAAGCCTGGCACCCACCAATGACAGCAAGAGAAGATATTTCCCGCACTAAGAGCCGAACAAGATCCATGAAAGCTGGAGCGCTTACAAACAAAAGCGGATGACATAAATCGAGGCCCTGGGCTTCGAAGCTTGAACTCTTGAACTTCAACTAGAACCCCGTGGTCTCACGCAAACCCTCAAGCAACGGAGTCTCATGTCAGCCTGGACCTGCAAACCCAACGTCTTCCCTCACGAAGAGCCGAGTTGCATGGAGAACTGCATTGATGCTCACCACGTCGGGGGCCAATGCGGCATCTTGCCGGAAAAAGCAGGATCAACAACCCATGTGGTGCGTCATGCGCAAGAACAGCCATCACCCGAACTGCAGGAAGTCTCAAGCGGGCAAGTCCTGACTCTGATGGCTTGGAACACAGGAAGCTCCTAAGGTCAGCATCAATTATGCTGTTTGAGATCCAAGCTTCAACATGTTCAACCTGTACAAATGAATGTGATTGTAGTCTGAGCCTGCGTAGGCAACTGATGCCCAAGTCTCAAAAGTTTGAGCCTGTACAGAAAGGCGCGGTCCAAGTCTCTTTTTTGAGCCTGTACAAAAAAAACAGGTGCACTGCCTGCATGCTATGTTACACCTCTCTCTGAAGTGGAAGACTGACTTCTAGAGATCAAAAGCTTAGCAAAAGAACGCAATGCACTCGGACCGCGGAAAAACATTAGCCCAAAACCTCAGTCCATGCTGGTGTGCTCAGAGTTGTAGATCACTCCTTGCTTCGTGGGATCTGCGTCCCATGGAACTGGAGTAGCATAGAGATCCTCGGTGCCTGTGGCGGCACCCGTTGTGCTGAGGATGTCCGTATTCACATAGTGCCATTCCTGGGTCAAGTTCCCACTATCCAGTTGGACTGTGATGGTCTCATTGGCCGAGACCTCTCCATGTGTGAAATTGTAACCGGCATTGCAACCACCAGCCGACGGATCCTTGCATTTGGCTGAAACATAGGTGACCAAAAGCTGGTCACCGTTCACCAAAACCTTGAAGTAGCCATTGAATCCCAATTTCTGATCATGGGGAATCTCTTGATATGTGCGCATATCCCAGGCTTTGATCTTCAATTCCTTCTTGTGGCGCTTGGGTCCTTCTGGATGAATTCGATAGCCACCATTCCCCACCATGCGACCATACAAGGCATACTTGGAGGTGAAGTGCTTAGCATGCCCAAGCAAGCGCGAGTTCTTGTGGTTGGCCTTGATCTTCAGCTTGTCATACAATGCAAAACGATGCTCATGGCCGAAAAACCAAACAATTGTTCGGTCCTCGGGCAGAACGTCATTCAGCTGTTGAGCAGCTCCAAGGTAAGCCTTCTCAAAATCACTGTAGGGAAAATGATGGCTCATGAGCACAATCCCACGTTTATCGGTAGGATCACCCAAATTCAACGTGGTCTTGAGCCACTCCACCACTTCATTTGGCAGGGGTGCAGGTGTTTCTTTGCCCAAAATCCGTTCACCGTCAGGACGTGTAGGCATGCAAAGGTAGCCAGTGTCAAGGGCGATGAACCGCCAATGGTCACTAAACCAGGCACCAAAGTTTGCTTTTTGACCTGAGTATTTGTAGCCGGCATAAACCAAGCCATTCATGCCACTGATTTGCTCGTGATTGCCAGCCATGAGGAAAGTGGTGTGAGATCCTTTCGGAAAGAGCACGCCTTTCTGTTGACGGTAGGATGGAGGATCAATACCCATGACATTGTAGTGAAAGTCCTCTTGATCACCCACAAAATAGACATCTCCCAAGTGAAACGTGAGGTCTGGGGTGTCTTGAGACATCAAGTTGGCAACCGTGTTGGCCTCGCAGGTCCCACTACCCCAATCCCCAGCAGCACCGATCTTCACTCCGGTAGCTGGTCCACCCTGTCTTGAAGAACTCAATGGAGAACCAGTTGCGAGATCAAAAATGCCGGTCTCGCCGCCACCGTACACAGGATAGGGTGTCACCAGGGGTATCTTCACTGCTTCATCCTTATTCTTGTGCTTGATTTTGTGCGCGATGCTGCCCACATAATTGCTCATGGCACAAGGACAAACCGCACTCCAGCATTGGCTCTCCGAAGTGATCACAAGGCAACTTTTTTTCTTATGCTTCCTCAGATGGTGAGATGCCTCGCACTTATCCTTCTTGTGCTTCTCCTCTGGGCAAAACTTGCAATAGTCCTGAGTTGGGTTCAACCCAGAACAACAGCTGTTGCATTGTTGCGTCACACTTTCGTTATGGGCCAATACCAAGAGTGGCATGACCCACCAAAAGATCCCAACCTCTTTCCAAGCCATCGCAAGGCCGTACACTCCACACTGTCTCAGGATTGATCTCGAGCCAAAATTCCACCCTTACAGGCCGCAATATCCAGCCGCTTCATGCGTGCTCTGCTCAGCTGAGCAGACTTCTCCTGCCTATTTCCCCCGATGGGCGAGCACATGCCTACAGTAGCAGAGCTCCGGGGCAAACAAGGGTCCCGAAACCCCGACTCTCAAGCCCGAACTAATGAAATCAATCACCAACCTCAAGAGTACAACACCAAAAAACCTCCAAGCCTCAAAAACCTCAGACAGTAAATCCTGAATGTTGAAAAGTCTGCCGAAACTTTATATGTACCACAAACACTAACATCTAAACCCTGAACTCGACATGCTAAAGCCCAAACGCTCAACCCGATGCCATTTCCACCGCAAGATTAGGCCTGCCATGGCAGGAAGTAGGGCCACAGCCACCTGCAAATGCGCTTCATTTTTGCGAGGCTATGGATGAACCTTTGCAGGATTCTTGCATAATCCCCATGTCGTAGAAGTTAGAAGGTAAATCGATCGAAAAGCAGGCGCTGGAAAGTTAATCAGGATGTGTACAAAGTTGAAGTTCCGAAGAATCGGGTGGCAAACATCTTGGAGCGAGTGAAGGCGAGGGTGCGTGCTGGCCACCTGCAGGGGTCTGAGGTGTCCGAAGTGGCCGCCCGCAGAGGCCTGGATGTTCTTTGCCAGTGACACTGGCCGCCTGCAGCCACTTGATGTGCCCAAACTGGTTCTTTCCGTGTGCGAGCTGGCCGCCTGATGGTGCCCCAAATGATTCTTTGCCGCTGAAGGCAGGCCGCCCAGAGCAGCTTGATGTAAAGAATTCTTCGCCGGTGCGGGCTGGCCACTCGCAAAGGCCTGATGTGACCGCATCATGAGAAAAAGGCTTTTCCAGCCACTGCAAACCCTAAAGCAAGATACCGCTTCCGGACTCCATAGTCTTCCTTCGGGCTAAATTCGGCTAAATGGATCTCTGAGCAGTCGGCCTCTCCAGAAACTTTGGCCTAACTCTCTGGCAGCCGTGGAGGGCTTCCTGAAACGATGCTTGCATAAGATTTAGCAGAGTATCATGCTGCTGAAGATGCAGGTTCGTATCATAGAAACATTGGTACCCCAATTGACGAAAAAGATTGAACTTTTCTTGTATGGCGGTTCTTAGATGCCTCCTTGGAAAGTCAGAGAGGATTAAACCCTGGACTCCAACCCCCACTGCCACCTTCCAGTGGGAGGCGGTTGCACATGCACTGGCCACTGCATTGAAGGACTCCACCGTAGGCCTGAACCGCACACTAGCACCGCTTGATTAACTAGTTCTGCAAGGCAAGTACCCGAAACCTCCGCAAGGATCCCGTGCAATTTGAGGTACATTCCTTATTTCACTCAGAGATAACATATCCGCTTGTAGACCCCAAGCAGGGATCGGGGGTCGAAGTACAAGGTTTTAGGGCTGTGCATGCTGTATATACCCTAAAGCCCCTAATCTACAGACCCCGAACAATAGGATCGTAATTTATGAAAACCCAGAGGACCCAAAAATGACATATCCCTGCTTCAGCAAGAACCACCAAAATCCCAACCCCTACATTCTGGCTCCCCCTACATTCTGGCTCACTCAACCCAAAGGGACCGTGACACAAATCAAACAGGGTTGAGAGACACAAAAGTCCAGGACCCTAAACCCAAAAGCCTGAACATACAGCCCAAACCCAAAGACCCAACACACACTGCATCCGAAATCACGAAGCTTACGCCTTACGCCCTAAGCGATGCTACCTACTACGAGTAGTACAGCGCCCGTTTCTGCTCCAGCCTGGGTCCAGCACCAAGCATTCCCTGGGGTCGGACAAGCTCTACAAATTGGGCTTTACAGGTGTTGATCTGGGGTTGTGTGGGGTCTCTTCAGGGATTTCATGCATTTGTCGTAGCTTCTGGGGCTCCGTCAGTTTAGATTCAGGCCTCAGCGTTTCAGGCTCAGATGTGGTGAGCTTGTAGAATTTTATGCCCTGAACCCCAAGAACAGGAGCTCAAAAGAGTTCGAAGGTTCCACGGTTCAACACGTGAAAAAAACCCAGATCCCTAAAGAACCGAAACTTCAAGCCTCGACAGAAAACTCCCCCACCCCCACCACCACCAAGTCACCAAGTCCAAGGGGCATCCAGGAAGCCCAAAGCCGACTGCCAGGCCTTTGAAGGCCGGAGGGCTCCTTTAAAAGCTCCTTTGAGGCGTTGCTTGAAGGTTCATGTATAGTAAACGCTCCTGTAAGCGATCTAGAGGGTTTCTAGAAGGTGAAAAGATCCAAGGACTGTGGGAATCTGGCTTGGGGTTTTGGGGCTTAGGCTCATTTTTTATCAGTCGGCTCTTTCTCGATCTCGTGTTTGTTTCTAGTGCTGTCACTCTTTGCTTCTGCTTTGACAAGCTGTACCTCATTTCTAATACAACCAACATAACTATGGTCAGTCCAATTACAACACGTGTTCTTTCGATTCTTGCTATCGATTACTGTGACTGTTCATACTGCCATTACGACGACGACAACTCTGCTACTTTCACATACAATCCGCCGAGGCCAAAGGCCTCTGGCGTCTTGATGGTTAATACTAACCAACCCTCTACCTAATCCTTCTCCCTCCAGCCCAAACGCAAACTTCCACCCGTTTTTAGCGACTGTTTTCGACCCCCTTGCCCGGCTTCCGTCCTTTTTTGCTGCCGAATTTGCCTCCCCCCCTCCTGCCCCCCCCTCCCGGGCCCCCCCTTCCTGCCCCCCTGCCCCGCCCTTGCCCCCTCTTTTTTGCCCCCCTGCCCGCCCCCCCACCCCCCCCTCCCCCCTCCCTTTCTCTTCTCCCCCTCCGGCCCGTCCTCCCCTCTGCCCTCCTCGCTCGTTTTCCTTTTTTGGTTCCCCACCCTTCCGTCTTGTCCTGCCCTCGCGTGTTTTTTCGATTGCCTGCTCGTTTTCTTTCACCTTTTCTTCTCTTTCGGCCTGCCCCCGGCTCCACTGTCTTTTCTTCTTATGTTTCGTTTTTGGCTTCTTCCTGCTTCCTCGTTGAAGCTCTCGTTTTGCTGTTTTGTTGCCCCTCGCCCCCCCCCCAGCCCTCCTCCCTCCCCGCCCCCCCGGCCCCTTTTCCCACCCTTCCGTCTTGTCTGCACTTCTTTTGGCTTGTTTTCCTTCCTTCCCCCCCTCCCCCTCTTGCTGGCCCCCCCTTCCTCCTCCGGCCGGCCAGTCCACCCTTCCGTGTTGTCCTGCCCTCGCGTGTTTTTTCGACCTTTTCTCCTCTTTCGGCCTGCCCCCCACCGAGCCGGCTCCACTGCCTTTTCTTCTTATGTTTCGTTTGCGTGCTTTGGCTCTCCTGCTTCGTCTTTGAAGCTCCGTCGTTTTGCTGTTTTGTTGCCCCTCGCCCCCGCCCCCCCTCAGCCCCTCTTCCCTCCCCCTCCCGGGCCCCCCCCGTCTTGTCCTGCCCCCCCCCTTCCTCCCCCCCCCTTGCTGGCCCCCCCTTCCTCCTCCGGCCCCCCCTTCCTCCTCCTGCTTCCCCTCGCTTTTTTGTTTTATCCTGCTCGTTTTCTTTCCTCTTTTCTTCTCTTCCGGCCTGCCGCCCCCCGGGCCGGCTCCACTGCCTTTTCTTCTTATGTTTCGTTCGCGTGCTTTGGCTGTTTCGGCCTGCCCCACCGGGCCGGCTCCGCTGCCTTTTCTTCTTATGTTTCGTTCGCGTCTCGTTGAAGCTCTCGTTTTGCTGTGTTGTTGCCCCTCGCCCCCCCCCCCACCCCTCCTCCCTCCCCGCCCCCCCGGCCCCTTTTCCCACCCTTCCGTCTTGTTTGCACTTCTTTTGGCTTGTGTTCCTTCCTTCCCCCCTTCCCCCTCTTGCTGGCCCCCCCTTCCTCCTCCGGCCGGCCAGTCCACCCTTCCGTGTTGTCCTGCCCTCGCGTGTTTTTCAACCTTTTCTCCTCTTTCCGCCTGCCCCCCACCGAGCCGGCTCCAAGGCACGTCGTCGGCCAGACCACACGACTCGTCGACTTATCATGCATCACCAGGACCAAGCACTGGCATTGCTTCTGTATCTCATTCCTGCAACCCTTCTGCGCACTTGGGTTTTGCTGCATGTGTTTGCTCTACACTTGCCACACTTCTCCAAGTAGCCCTGACCCTGCAACTAAATTACACCTGCTTTAAGAGGCCCTTCGCAGTTTGGCCCCTGCTCTGCGCCCCTGCTGGCCCTACTGCAGCCGGCGGCCGAGGCGGGCTGCGTAGCATTAGAATTACAACCATCCTCACTATACTTGACAGCGTGCGCTTTCGACACTTGTAGCTGTTTCCCCAAAAAGAATGAAACGAAATGCAAGCTTCAGAAAAAAGAATACCCGTTTAAGGGACCCGTAATATTTAGGGTCCCTGAGGTTCAATATCAGGGTCCCTGTTTTCTGAGATCCTTGAATCTGTCAAGACACCTGGCCAGCAGCGCAGAGGCCGATCGTAGCGTTCATCAAGGGGGCATCGGGCCTGCTGCACTTGGAGGGTCTGGGCTTTCGGGTGCAGTAACGATAGCACATGCACTGAAAGGCTTGATTCGAGCACTTCCAAACACGGCTCAGGATAAGCACTGGGGTTTGACACCAGAATATGGTGTACAGTTTCACGGTCAGCAGGCATGAGGAAACAACAGTGTAAGCGTTACTGCTGGTGCTAGTGCCAGTGCCAGTGCCAGTGCTCAGTGTCAGCGTTCGTCGTCGTCGCCGTCGTACGAGAAGCAGTAGTAGGCCGGACAATACGATGAGCCTCCCGGTTAGATCTGGCAACGTGACTCTAACAACGGACCCACTAGTTTACATCTTCAGACTGTTTTATACAAGACTGAAGACAAGGACCTTTGGATGTATGCTCAAACACGCATAACTGTCACCACAGTCGCCTTAGCGTCACCTCCCGCAGCTGTGAGAAAAGGCGAAGACCTGACAAGTCTTTTCCATGATTGCGATCAATACCATGGGGTCCGTGATTGAAATGTTGCTACAGAGGCTGGCAACGACGGCGAAAAAACGAACAGGAGGACGAGAATGAGAACACTGTAGACGACGGTGAGAACAAGGTACAAAATGGCAAGGGCACGCGACGGCACCCACTGATGACCGTCATGAATCTCTGTCTCCAACGACTACTGTGATGGATAAATACCTCAACGGCTTCTTTCACGATCGTGGCTACAATGCTCCACATGACGCATGCTGAATTTCGTGGTTCTGTCTTTATGAGACCAAAACAATGACTGTGACGGCTAGGACATAAGACCATCATACCCGCTTGTGCGCTGTGACTGCTACCACGACTAAGAACAGTGTCTGCCACTTGTTACTAAACCTTGCTCGTGCTTGTCCTTCCTCCTCTTCTTAGCTCTCTTGGGGATGGTGAACCAAGAGACGGCTGTGAACTGGGACTCTTAGCGCCTTGGGCTTAAAGTTTTCGGCCAAACAGCGTGTACAAACACACAAAACCAAACCCAATACCAACCGAACGAAACTCTCCTCAAAGCCAGACACCAGAAAAAGAAATTCTAAATTTCTGTTAAAGAAACTCCATTTCTGAACGCCCTCAACATGAACCACTCCTCAACACCCAACTCTAGTTTCGTGAATATCCATCTACACTGCAATCTACCACAAACCCTCTTCTAGTTTCCAAGGCCACCATACTAAAACCCTGCACCACCCCTCCCAAACTTCTGACTACCCCCTCTTACTCTTGATGCCCTTAGTGTAACCCAGGCCTGGCCTCTCGGCCAGGCTGGGTGGAAGGAGGCCAGGACCGCGGTGACCAAAGGCCTAAGGCTCGGCGGCTTAAGCCCTCGAAAAGCTTAGACTACAGGGCTCAGGGTTTGGCATTGAGGACTTTAGAAGACGGCCCTGCAACTTTCATAAGGAGCCCTAGAGGAATTCCTGAGGGCCCTACGTTATGCACAACACTTCGCAGGATATGAAGTAGGCGTTCAAAAGGCTTCGATGAGGGCATTAAAGAGATTCCCAGAAAGGTGCTCATTATGGCTCAGCTCGGGGTTTCGCGAGGATTGTATAAAGGTTTTGTACAGGCGTGCTGCCGGGGTTCTATGATGCTTTCTCTGTTTTAAATCCGGGCCTCTGTAACGGTTTTATGGGGCTTCAAACGTTTTGGATTTGGGGTTTAGAGTTTAGGAGTCTGTCCACCTCAAACGCTAAACTCTCGAAAGAATATAGTGAATCAACAAACGCTGGAAGTCCCCAGAGATGGAAAAACGATGTCAGACGAGGTTCGACTGCTAAAACAGCTTTTGGGAGATATTAAGGAAATTTATGTCGGTTCCAAAAGGAGTTAGGCTGGAATGCGTAGTGCGAAGGTCTCAGGAGCTGCCGTGAAGCTTGGGGCTCAGAAGGATGAAAGAGGGGCCTTTGTTAAAAGGCCGCTCTGCAATGTTCTAAGTTGTAGTACAGGAGCTTCAGTAGCTGGAATAGGGCTGCGGGGTTGCCTTATGGAACAAGTATGTAAGGACTCTCAGGTATACTATTACTCATCATTCAGGCCACCCGTAAACTCCAAATGCCAAAACCCTACGAAGAAGATAACCATCAAGCACCGTGGACAAGAAATCCCTACATGAATCCTAAACACTAGACCCCAAAGCCGCCCCCCAAAAGCCCTCCAAAACCCTGAAACCCTAGGATACCCCGAGAAAAAACCGAGTCGCGCCGTGGGTCTCAGCTGCCCTCGCTGCAGCTCCGCCAGGAAGGCGCTGGCCCGGGCCCAGTCCCCGAAAAGCGCCAAGGAGGACATCCTGGAGAAGTGAGTTTAGGGTTTAGTAGGCTTTAGACGGCTTATTAGGGTTTAGGGTATAGACGGTTCAGGGTTTAGGGTTTAGGGTTTAGGGTTTAGGGTATAGGGTATAGGGTTAGAGGCGCTTACCAGAGTTTTACTGGGCTTCGTTTATGAGCGGCTCTGCCTGCGGGATCGATATGAGACTATTTGTGTTTAGGGGCTTAGGAGCTTCCAAGTTTGGGGTTTAGGTTGCTTTGGATCGGGAACGGTTTTCTGTAGGGCTGAGGGCTTGGAAATTGAAGAACTGACTTGTAAGGGCTTCTGCAAAGAAACGGTTGTTTTGTCAGGTTTGCAGCTCCTGCGTAAGGCTCTGGGGCGTCGGGAAGGTGTCGAACGGGGTTGTTTACATGTGTGAAAGGATTGTACGAGGCTTCCATGGCAGCTTTAAGCTGTTTGAGAGTTTGTTCGGTTCGGGCCTTAGAGGGATGCTTGCTACCATTTTCCTAATTTTCAACTAATACAGCAGCCATTACCACCACCACTACAACTACCACGATCACCGCCGCCACCAGTACTACTACTACCACGACAACGACCACCACCACTACCGCCACCACCACCACCACCACCACCGCCTCTACCACTCCAACTGCAACTGCCACTGCCACTGCCACTACGACTACCACTACCACTACCACTATCACGACGATTACGGCTACGACTACGACGACGACTGCTACTACTGCTACTACTGCTACTACTGCTAAAACTGCTACTACTACTACTACTACTACTGCTACTACTACTACTACTACTACTACTACTACTACTACTACTACGACTACGACTACTACTACTATTCCTGACACTATTACGACGAAGACTACGACGACAGATGGACGAAATCACCCGCACAGGCATACTTCGAACGATTGAGGCATCAACCCCCGCACCCCTGATTTGAAGTTGGCAGCTAGGATTACTTGAGCGGTTCAAGATCCCGGCTACGCATTTCACACCCAACGCAAAAAAGGTGCTGCGGGAAACCACCAAAAAGCCGTTCTGAAAAGTGGTGCAAGGTTTTTGTCCACCCACTGTACCACAACTACTAGTCATATTATTACTAACATGAGCCTGGGGGCTTCTATACTATAACCATACATATATAGCAGAGCCCGAAGAATAGTCTTACGAACTACTCAGCTGCCCCTGTACGAATCTAGCAAAGGGGCGCAGCGCCAGCAAAGGCTGCATCGGGTCGCAGCTGTCTTCGGCAGCCTTCCTCAACTTACCGCGAGCGATAGCACTAGCAGCTCTAGCAGCAGCAGCAGCAGCAGCAGCAGCAGCAGCAGAAGTAGCAGTGGCAGTAGCAACAATAACAATAACAACAACAGTCGGATGCACAGTCCAGGTATGAGGCTTGATTGGGACTCCCAGATCCCAAACTCAAAACCCTAGATCCGACACCTCAAAAACCCCCAGCTGTAGTGTCTCCACCGGGCGACTGCATAGAGCAGAAGGGCAGACTGCCACCTGCTTGGGAGCTCTGACTTTCAGGCTTCGCATGTTTTGGAAGAGGCTTATCGAATCGGGCTTCATGAGGGGGTTTATATGGGATTTCCCTACCCGTAGTTTTGCTTGCGTGCTTTTTGGGGGCCCTATCTAAGGTTGCACGCTCGTTTGATGAGGCGCGGGGCAGAGGCTTGAGACGTGGAGCCGAATATAGCAGCGTGAATACTCAGACCAGGGTTGCCTGGGGCTCTTTGCTATAAACACATCGGAGACTACAGCATCTAGCTTAGCTTGATTATCACATCATCGGTACAAGCGTTAACATCAGAAGCACACGAAAAAGGTGTGCGCAGCTTGCGAAAGCTGCTGATGACTTTTGCCTCTTCTTACTGTCATTGTTCTCACTCTCAGCATTGCTTGTGTCACTGTTGTTGCTCCTGGTCAACAGGACTACCATCATTGTTGCTATGATTCCTACCTTCACTAACACACTTCACATTGCCTCTGCCACACCATCACTGCGGAACCATGCTGCTGAGGTTGAACGGTGTTGTTAGCTGTGACAAACCCAAAAGGAACTGGCATTGCTTCTACCACTGGTCTACCACTAACGAACCTCGAAACGCCTGATGTCCACGCCCCACGTTAACCCGAAACCGTAAACTCAGGAGCCCCAAATGCCCTCGAGCCCCGAGCCCGGTGCTCTAAAATCCCGACATCCTTTCGAACCTTAGAACCTTGAAACGTTGTAGAACTCTCACAGAAGCCCTTGAATAGGCCAAGTCAAACGCTTCAAAAGCCTGTCAAAGCTTCCAAAAAGCGTTCAAGCTCAGCCTTGGCCTTGTAACCTTGTAAGACAACTTTGGATTATATCTGCTCCAATCATTCAAGCCTCCATACGAAGCTCTATGAAAACTCTAGAACACCTGAGTCAACAAGGGCCCCGAAAAACATCAAGCCTAGTTCGCCAGGCTTCTATGTTCAACCCCTATAAACACAACATTATGAAACTGGTACAAAAAGCCATTATGTTTTCACTCCTTCATGACCCCTCATCTCAAACATAACTGAAGAAAGCGGAGAACGGTATTGTGAAAAATTCTGTTGAAACCTTTACACAAACTAGAAAGCCCTGTAAACCCCTACAAACCTACATTGCAAACCCTTGAAAACCTTGAAGATCAAAGAAGCGCAGTTCGCACATCCCCGGCCTTGAGGCGCGCGCAGTGGCTGCGGCGGCGGCGGTGTAGACGAAGAGGTTCGGCGAACGGCCTGCAAGCCGCACAGAGGGCTCGGATGGGAATGATGCAGCAAGTTGTGGGCGTAAGTTGCGAGTCAAAGGCTCACATGGCTCCATACATTCTTTGAAAGCTTAGCACAGTAAGAGCTGCCAAGCTGAAGCAACCCTGTGTCGCCACAGTGACTCTGACTCTGACACTCTGACACTTGCTGCGAGAGGCCATTCCCTTTCGAAACATTATCTCCAAACGCCGCCTACATGAATCCAATGATCCGAAATCGCTCCTGGTCGTTAACATCAGCCTTACAATACAATTACCTCACGTGAACCACGAACCATGAGCAAGAAGACACGACACAATTGATGACTCTTGTGGTTTACAATCGAATGTGAAAGCGCAGTTTTTGGATTCCATATAACAGGTTGAAAACGGCTTCACGAGGGTTCGGGTATGGACTAAGGTTTTTATGTTTTGGGATCAGGACTGAAGATCGGTTTCGGGGTTGCTCTGAGAGTAAATCCTCCTGTAACCCAACCTTTTACTCGTGATGTCATCATCTTCGTCATGATCATCATTACTTCTATCAGCAGTCACACCACCTCCACCAACACCACCTGCGTCATCATCACCACCGCTTGGCTTACATACGGACGCGTGCACCCACCTCAGATGGCGGCGGGAGGGCCTCGAACTCCAAGTACTGTAAATGCCATAATGTTGACCTAGGATTAATAATCCCCCTACGATTAAAGGCGGCCTGCGGGCGGCTCCGGCCCCAATCTGTACTACTTTAAAGGCAGCACCCAAATAAGGATCGTTTTTTGCAGAAAACCCCCCACGATTAAAGGCAACACCGTCTGGGGATCTATAATTTCAAAGTGCTTCGAAGACTACTTTTAAAGGGGGCAAGACTACATTTAAAGGGCGTCTTGTCCTCTTTCAAGCGGTTCTTCCAAGGGCTACTGCTACTGCTACTGCTACTGCCACTGCTACTACTGCTGCTACAACGACCACTACTACTAGCACCACTGTTTACTGCAATTTGGCTTCACGGGATTATTTGGGGGTCTGTGATCCTGTGGGGGGCCTGCGACCTTGACAACCTTGAGGGGGGGGGAGGCGGGGGGGGGGGTTTATTAATCAGGGGTCAACATTACCTGAAACTTTAAATCTTCTGACCATTTCACCCCCCACCCCAAACTTTCTGAAGCTAAGAAGCCATGTGAAAAGGAACCCACCCCCGCCCCCCTCCCTTCGCACCCCGCGCACCCTGCGTGTCAGCGAAGATAAACAGCGCCTGCTGCCACCTCTGGCAAGCAAGACCCTTTTTTGCTGAAACTGGATCTCTTCCAGCGTCCTGTAAAATGAAAACCTTACAACATTTACGGCCTGTTGTAAGGACTCCCGGGTACGATGAGAACGATCTTTGTACCTATCATCATGACTAGCGTTGTCATCACGGTCATGACCGTTTCTTCTGGTTGCTCGCGTTCTGTTCCATCATAAACTTGAGTCCATGAGGTGTCAGGGCTTGAGGCATCTACTCACAGATTCCAAAGCCTGTTAATTGAGGAAGATACCATAAAACATATTCGGGATCCCACAATTTCACAAGTTTAAAGCATATGGCTCGATAACGGCACCAACAAACAATCATGAGGTGTATTGCTTAATTACCTGATTTGGGAGTCTCTGGGCATGCGCAGCTGCGAGTTCGGGTCGTCGGTTGGGTGCGGGCTGTTCTAAACAAGGCCTCCTTTCGAGGAGCCATCTTTACATTGAACATTAAAAGGACCCGTCAGAGTCCATAATGTTCGGATCCCAAGCGGCAACCCTACAATGGGGCGCCTGCGAGTTCATCAGAAGCTTACATCAAAGACGACCGCGGAACTCAACTCCTCGAGTCCTAAAACCCTTGAGACTGGGAGGCTCGGGAGTGGATTTCGGACCACGGGATGCTTGGACTGGTCTGCGGGGGGCACGTCCCAGGGAAGGAACGGGGGGTCAGGGGGTTGTGGCATTCGGCAGGGCTGGGCTGAAGCCGGTCGTGAAACACATCAGTTCTCTTCATCTTCGTCTTAAAGCGTTTAGGGTTTAGTGCATCTGGGGGCTTAAGGGAGTTTAGGCTTTCTGATTTTGGGGGTTTGGGACCAGGGGCTTTACAGCGATTCCCGAACAATTCCCGAACCCTCCCTTTCCCACCTGGTGGCCTTACCGCATGCGCTGACCTTAGATAACATAGGGTCTTGACTGTTAGCAGCAGTG